CGGTTGGTGTGTGGGGTTGGGGGAAACGGTTGGTGTGTGGGGCTGTGGGGCCGCTGCGGGGGAGGGTCAGTGTGTGGAGCTGAGGGCAGGGCTGTGGGGTAGGGGCGGTGTGGGGGCGGAGGCAGCGCTGTGCAGGAGGGGTGGTGTTATGGGGCTGGGGGTGGTGTGTGGGAAAGGTCGTGTGCGGCTGTGGGGGGTGGCTGGGGGCGGCGCTGTGGGGTTTTAGCTCTTCAATCTCTGTTTCTGTTGTTTCTCAGGGATCATTCACCAGATGAAAGGTGACTATGACTCTGCTCTGAAACTCCACAAGACTCACCTGTCCATCGCCCAGGAGCTGAATGACTATGGTGCTCAGGGCAGGGCCTACGGCAACATGGGCAATGCGTACAATGCCCTGGGCATGTATGACCACGCTGTGAAATACCACCGGCAGGAGCTGCAGATTTCTATGGAAGTGAACGATCGGGCCTCGCAGGCATCCACCCACGGGAACTTAGCAGTGGCCTATCAGGCCTTAGGCGCCCATGACCGGGCCCTGCAGCACTACCAAAACCACCTCAACATCGCCCGGGAGCTGCGGGACATACAGAGCGAGGCCCGGGCCCTCAGCAACCTGGGCAACTTCCATTGTTCGCGAGGAGAGTACGCGCAGGCAGCCCCTTACTATGAGCAATACCTGCGCCTGTCCCCTGAGCTGCAGGACATGGAGGGGGAGGGGAAAGTTTGCCACAACCTTGGCTATGCCCATTACTGCCTTGGAAACTATGAGGAGGCTGTGAAGTACTACGAGCAGGATCTCGCCTTGGCAAAGGATCTACATGACAAGCTGAGCCAAGCCAAGGCCTACTGCAACCTGGGCCTGGCGTTCAAGGCCTTAATGGACTTCAGCAAAGCCGAGGAGTGCCAGAAGTACCTGCTGTCTCTGGCCCAGTCTCTGAACAATTCCCAAGCCAAATTCCGGGCTCTTGGGAACCTGGGGGATATTTTTGTATGTAAAAAAGATGTAAATGGTGCAATAAAATCCTATGAGCAGCAGCTGAGTTTAGCCCATCATGTCAAAGACCGGAGATTGGAGGCCAGCGCCTATGCCGCCTTGGGTTCTGCCTACAAGATGATACAGAAATATGACAAGGCCTTGGGGTACCATACACAGCAACTGGAGGTTTACCAGGAACTAGGGGATGTGCCGGGTGAATGCAGAGCTCACGGCCACCTTGCTGCAGTGTACATGTGCCTTGGGAAGTACACCATGGCATTCAAGTGTTACGAAGAACAGCTGGAACTTGGACAGAAGCTGAAGGACCCCAGTATAGAGGCCCAAGTCTATGGCAACATGGGCATCACCAAGATGAACATGAATGTCATGGAGGAAGCTATTGGGTACTTTGAGCAGCAGCTGGCCATGCTACAGCAGCTGAGCGGAAACGAAGCTGTGCTGGACAGAGGTCGGGCATACGGAAACCTGGGGGATTGTTACGAGGCTCTAGGAGATTATGAAGAAGCCATAAAGTATTATGAACAGTACTTATCTGTAGCTCAGAGTTTAAATCGCATGCAAGACCAGGCGAAGGCCTATCGGGGCCTGGGAAATGGGCACAGGTAACAAATGCCAAAGGCTGGAGTATTGCATGGCCTTTGGTAATGAGAAATGTCTTGAAAGTGAATGAGTGAAAATACCTGAGTGATGATTATACCATCACTATTCACGTGATTCAGTGGTGAGCAGTGTCACAGCGAGTATATGGGTGCACATGCTCCCAACAGGGGTTAGTGTCAGGGAACCAACCTGAGAACACAGATTCAAGACAATATGCTGGATTTCTCTCACATGGTGCAGTCACTGACTAGCAAGCTGTGTGTGTGCTGGGGGGAGGATAGAGGTGTGTGTGTGTGTGTGTAAATAGAGGTGAATGGGCAGCTGTGCGGGTGGGTATGGGGCAGGGTATGTGTACGTCTGTGAGAGATAGGAGTATGGGTGCAGGGGGGAGGGGGAACTTTACAGATGTATTTGTGTGGGTTGGGGTTACATGTATGGATGTGTGGGTGTAGAGCTGTGGGGGATGTGTGTACAGATGTGTGTTGGGGTATATGACTGTGGGGGTGTATGTGTACGGATTTGGTGTATGGCTGTGAAGGGTAGATGAGGGTGCTGTGCATGTGTCTCTGTACACATGTGTGTCAGGGGTGTATGGCTGTGGAGGGTACATGGAAGCTGTAGGGGTGTATTTGTACAGATCTGTCTGGGGTGTATGGCTGTGGGGGTGTATGTGCATGGATGTGTGGGGGCTAGTGGCTGTGAAGGGTATGTGGAGAACTGTGGGGGTATATGTGTACAGATTTGGGGGGTGGCAGTGGAGGGTACATGGGAAACTGGCAGTGTATGTGTAGAAATGTGTGTAGGATGTATTGCTGTGGAGGTGTATGTGTACAGATGGCAGTGTACGGCTGTGGAAGTATATGCGTACAGTTGTGGGGGGGATGTACGGCTGTGGGGCATATGTGTACGGATGGAGGGATGAATGGTTGTGGGAGGTGTATGTGTATGGCAGGGTGTACACACTGGGTGGTGTGGAATGACAGGGCTATCTGGATGGCGAAGGGGAGGTGGGGGTGTATGTGTACGGCTGTTGGGGGCTGTACGGCTGTATGTGTATGACTGTGCGGGGCAGTGTCTACACACCGGGTAGTGTGGAACGACAGAGCAGTCTGGATGGCAAGGGGGAAAGGTTATTCAGGCTGTGCTATTACCCTGAATAATGAAACTTCTTTTCCCTGCCCCGGGCCCCCTGGAGTGAGGAGTTTACAGGGGATGCAGAGGAGGCCTGGACAGTTTTTTGGGCCTGATTGTAGCCTTCAGGGTCTCTCTTACCATTGACTCCAGGGTTCACGGCAGCTCTGAAATTCCCCTACATCTGGCAGCGGGGCCATGACAGATTTGAGCCGGCTCCAGAGCAGAGGTTCTCTGTAGGACATGACAGTGAAAGATGGTTTTCATGTTACATCTGCCTAGGCAAGATAAATGCTCCTTTTCTCTCCACGCAGGGCAATGGGAAGTTTGCAGCAGGCTCTCGTGTGCTTTGAAAAGAGGCTAGTGGTGGCCCATGAGCTCGGGGAGGCGTTCAACAAAGCCCAAGCCTATGGGGAGCTGGGGAGTCTGCACAGCCAATTAGGAAATTATGAGCAAGCCATCTCCTGCCTGGAACGGCAGCTCAACATCGCCCGAGAAATGAAGGACCGGTCTTTGGAGAGCGACGCAGCCTGTGGCCTGGGGGGAGTCTATCAGCTAATGGGCGAGTACGACACGGCACTGCAGTACCACCAGCTGGACCTGCAGATTGCCGAAGAGACCAACAATCCCACCTGCCAGGGCAGGGCCTATGGGAATCTGGGATTAACGTACGAGTCGCTGGGCACCTATGAGAGGGCAGTGGTTTATCAGGAGCAACATCTCAGCATTGCAGCTCAAATGAATGACTTGGTGGCCAAAACCGTGTCCTACAGCAGCCTTGGGAGGACACACCATGCCTTGCAGAACTACTCTCAGGCTGTGATGTACTTGCAGGAAGGTGAGTGGATGAATTATCCAGTGGCTTTATGTTTGCAGGGGATGGGGGAGAGGGCATGTCCGTGTGAAAGGGAGCGAGATGTAGGAATGTGAGTATGTGTCTAAGACATTCGCTAGCTCTGACAGTCTCCTGCAGGCCTGTGCAGTTATCACTGTGCCCTTCATTAGCGGCCCGTCTGCCCAAACCTTCATGTAGCAGCACATTGTGACAGACAAGGGAATGGCAAAGCTTTTAAAGGTCAGTGAGTGGCGGGGGGGGGGGGGGGGGAGGTTAATCACTAAACTTCACTCCAAGCACCCCAAGTCTCTTTATAAAACCAGTCTGCCCTGAGTCAGGAGAGGGAAATCTCCCCAGTGGGTGACATGGCAGGCCAGGGAATGACTTAGGTCCACAAAGCCTGTTTGTACTGAGGACAAACAGCCCCACAGCCCACCTGGGCTGAGCTTGCCTCAGCTGGGAGCTCCCTGTTTCTCCCCTTCAGATTAAAGTGGGGGTGGGGCTGAGAGCTGGAAAAGTAATAGGCCTCTCAACCTTGCCCCATGACAGTGTTGTGGGGGATGCTCTGAGCGGCTGGGAGCGGGGGACAGCTGGAGGGCCCCCATTGGTCCAGCCTTGCACGCCTTACCCTTGCTGCTGCTGCTGCACCGTCTCCCAGGATAAAAGCGTCGTCTGTTCAGCGTGGCGGCAGCAGTGCGAGGAAGAAGACAAGCTGAGTGGATTGAATGGTGTGGGGGGAGCTGGGCTGCAGACTGATAGATTAATTACACGAGTTAGCCTGGATTTCCTGGAAACTGACCTGAGCAGGATTTCAGGATAGTAGGGGGAATTTCAGTTAAATTGGTGGGGGGGAAATCAGTGCAGCCCCCTTTCCTGATGGGAGGTGACCTTCCTGCTGCTCCAGCTGCTGCGTATCCCTGCAGGCCACTCTTCTGCAGCTGAGCCCAGCAGCCCTTACCCCACCTGGGCCTTTCCCTTACATTCTCTGCGCTGCTTGGATGTATCTGACATCGCTGGGGCCCATGGAGGTGTGACATGTTGGGGCATTGTAGGAAATGCCTGTGGATGTTGTTGGAACTGAAGTGAATGTTCCTGTGGTAGGTCAGATTAGAATCACTGCCCCGCCTCTAGCTGCAACAGAGCCCTCATGTCTGCCAGGAAGGTGTTGGGAGACCTGGGACAAGGGCGGGTGCGGAGCATGTCCTGGTTAGCTGGATGTATTAGCAGGGCCTCTCAGGTGAGGAGGGAGAGGGAGAAGGACTCCAGCAGCACTTTGCAGCTCGGTGCAGTTTTGCTCATCTGCAGTGTTTGAAGGGTTAAAAGCCAAACGGCTATGGTGAGGGTGGGGAGAGGCTGGAGTGGCACAGAGGAAGGGCCTGTGTCCTAGCTCTGGTGCCTTCTCCCTGTCCTCTCCATGCCCTCCTGCTAGCCAGCTCCCTGCCGCTTGTGCTGGTGCACCCCTTGTGTTAATGTCACTCCCCCTCCTGCTGACCCGCCGACTCTAACAGCACAGGGAGCACGTACAGCACTTCTCTTCAAGGTGTTGTGCAGCCTCAGCAAATCAGTTACACCTGCATGCGGATGAGTGCCCGGCCCAGGGCCAGGACCCAGCGTGAGCCTACTCCTGTCTGCAGCCTGAACACCTTCATCCCAACCCTCCCATCATCCAGCAGCAGGGAATCTTTTCTCTTGTCTTCACTTACTCCACTTCTTTTTCAGGACTGAGACTGGCAGAACAGCTGGGGCGTAGAGAAGATGAAGCCAAAATCCGCCATGGCCTGGGCCTCTCCCTCTGGGCTAGTGGGAACCTGGAGGAAGCCCAGCACCAGGTAGGCAGCTGCTCCAGTAGTAGGAGGATCTCTCATCCCCTGTAATGCATCAGGGTGTGGTCCCTTCTTACACATGGTGCTTGTTCAGAGGTGACTTGTCACTGCCCACCTGGGTGCAGTCTCCTGGTCTCTTCTCCCTGCACACAGCTATGTCTCTTCCCCTGCAGTGGCCAGCCGCTCTGCCTTGGACACTGCAGTAATGGGTGTGATGAGCTGCTTGCAGACCAGGACTGGATGGGGCAGACCTGACCCCAACTGAGAGCATGTTGGTCCCGGCTTCTTCCCCTCTCCTCCCCAGTCCCCCTCACTGAAGTGCCAGTGGCTGCACACTGGGCCAGCTGGAGTTCTGAGTCTCACCATGGGCTGTTCTCCCCTCCCAGCTCTATAGGGCGTCAGCACTGTTTGAAACCATCCGCCACGAGGTGCAGCTGAGCACCGACTACAAGCTATCGCTCTTCGACCTGCAGACATCATCCTACCAGGCCCTGCAGCAAGTGCTCGTCAGCCTTGGTAAGAGATATCTGTGCTGCCCATGGCTGTTGGGAGCTAGGAGTCTGAGTTCTTCTCTGGCTCCAGGGTTTGACCCAAGTTCCAGGTGTGCAGTTCCTCTCAAGCGTTTCTAGTCTAGTTTGAATAGGAGACCGGGATCAGGGGTTCTGTGCCTTTTTGTGCCTCTGCTGCTGGCAAGCTGGTCCAGTCCCATTGCGCTCTGTGCCTTGGTTTCCCCATGTGTAAGGTTACGTTTTTGTCATGGAATCCGTGATTTCCAGAGACCTCCGTGACATTTTGTCCTTCAGCCCCTGGGGCTGCGGAACTGCCAGAGGATCCACCTGCAGGGTTCCAGCGACAGGGGGCCCTCCTCAGGGTTCCAGCTACGGGTGACAGCCTCGCGGGAGGGTAGGGTGGGGAGAGAACCCCACAGCTCCCAGCCACCACAGTGGCAGCAGCAAAAGTCACAGACAGGTCAAGGCTTCCATTAATTTTTGTTTATTGCCCATGACCTGTCTGTCATTTTTACTAAAAATAACCATGACAAAATCTTAACCTTACCCATGTGTAATGTGAGGCTAATTCCTCACAGGAGCCTTGTGAGACTGCATTTAACATTTGCACAAAGCACTGAGATCCTGGGACGAGGCATAGTTCAGGATGTCCTTTCCCTGATATTTCATTGCTTTCCCCTCTCAGCAGCGCTTCCTTTAGCCCCTCGCTTGTGTATGATTCACTCCTGTGCCCCCCAGGGCTGTGCTGGGTCACATCACAGAGCCCATAGCAGCACTCATCTCCCTCCCATTTGTGTATAGACCCTTCCCTTACAGGCTTGGGTAGGAGATTCCCCTTCCCAGCCTGCTGTGAGGAACTCTACCTGCTCAGGGTACACAAATCAGCACCTGCTCCCAGTGCCAGGTGCACTTCTTCAGCTGCCTTTGCTAATACAAACAAAGCAGCATGACTAAAACCCTGCCAGAGCAAACCACTTCCCAGCACATACAATCCTCTGGAGGCCTGGGGAGAGAGTGAACCACAGACAGAACCACAGACACTGGATGTGAATCACCTTGCTTAATGCACAACAGGAAGGTGATCGGACCCACGGGGATGCGGGTGGGATTAAAACCTTAGATAGAAGAGATGAGTGTGACGAACGTAGGAATTGTCTGTAATATTTTAAAGAACTATCTGTAGGACTCTGAACATGTCGCCTTGGCATTACTACCCAGTGGGTGCAGAAGAGTTAAAATTCTGCTCCTGGCGCAGAGCAGGAGACATGATGTGTTTGGGGTCATCGGAATGGGTCGTTATGGATTGGGTTCAGCCAGTCTTTATCAGGGGCAGATGCGGAAAGACAATGGGAATGCTGAGGGCTGAGCAATTGACGCTTTACAACAGGAAGTTCTGGCAAGGTGAACACATGAACTCAGCGTGGCTTTGCAGCAGGAGGACACTGGACTGAGAGGTGACAGGAGGCAGTGATAAAAACTGGGCTCTCAGAGACACAGAAGCTCCCCTGGGATTGACAGGCAAAGTGATCAAGAAAGAGAGAGAGCCTGGATGGTTTCTAGAGCAGCATGGCCCCGTGTAGCCCAGGCATTGGCCAGTCTGAACTCTGTCTTACCTTTGCCTCTTTAGTTCACCAAAGGGCTTCCTGAGGCTGTGTTACAGTTGACTAATGAACCCTACTCTGTTCTGAAAAGGCTGCCTGGAGTCACTGCAGATACTTGCTGAACTACTTTGATCCCTGAAGAGCATAAAAGTCTCTGAACAGCAGTCTGCTTCAGTCAGACTCTCTGGGCAGAGCTCGCACTGAAAAGCAGGAGCACTGGATCCCAGAAGCTACGTTTCAGAGGTGTGGAGGGCATGGGGCCTACCCTTGTGGAAAAGTGTGACCTCTTGGGGTCTGGCACACTGAAGGGACAGCTTACAAGTCAGAGTGTAGCACGGATCCTGTGGATCTGTGACCGAGGTACTGGATATCTTGGATGTTTGATGTGCCAGGGAGTCCCAAAGGGCACTGGGTTATAGCCTGGGAAGAAGCAACGTTCAGCCAGCCAGGATGCTTGGGGTTGCTGGGGAAACAAAGACAGTCTGCCCATAGAGGTGCTGCTGCCCTGTGACCTGTGGTGCTGGTTTGGACTCGTCATGCTCTCTACCCCTTTACAGTGCTCTGCAGTGTCTGGTGCAGGCCTGAGACACATCTTTGTTCCCTAACTTGTGGCTCTTCTTCACAGGCCACCATGACGAAGCCCTGGCTGTGGCAGAAAGGGGAAGAACGAGAGCGTTCGCTGACTTGCTGGTGGAACGTCAGACTGGACAGCAGGACTCTGACCCCTATTCCCCCGTCACCATTGACCAGGTTCTGGAGACTGTGAATGGCCAGAGGGGACTTGTTCTCTACTACTCACTGGCTGCCGGCTATCTGTACAGCTGGTTGCTTGCTCCTGGGGCAGGTAAGTTTCCTTTCTGTAGGAAAAGCCTGCAAAGGGGGAATCCTAGAAATCAGAGTTGGGACAGACCCATTAGGGTCTTGTCCTGTTCCACCAGCCAGAGGCTGGGCCTGGCACCCAAAGCCTCACTTCGTAATGTGAAATACGCCCTGGATTATGTAGTGTGCTTTGCTGCCACAGCCTTACATTCCCTGCTCTCTGATAGTGCTGTGACATCTGTTCAGGGTGCTTGTTCTGCCGTTGCTCACCACAACTCATTTTACTGCGACTGATACTCAGCTCTTGTTGGGAATTCAGTTACATCTTGGTAGCGCTGGTGGCAGTTCAGCTGCAGAGGTGCTCAGGGAACGGAGCCCTTGTCGCCTGTACACGGGAATTGGCAGCTGCTAGGGGAACTTGCTTTCATCCTTTATCTAATATTATCATGAAAGCAGGAAAATAGGATCATCCGTGTAAGCTGGATCAAGAGGCAGGCTGGCTCAGGGGATTGGTAATTGGATATGCAGCCTTTCACCTTGAGGGCACTGGATTGAATGCACACCCACAGGCCAAATTCATCTCTGCTCTAAATCCGTTGTAGTCACTGGTCTTACTCTAGGGAGGAATTTGGCCTGAAGACGGTAGTAACTAAAAGGTGTCTCCGTCTGACGGCTGTTTTGGGGGCCCTGGTAAAATGAGATGGGGGATTTGTCCTGTTCCTAGTA